TCCGATTAAAAGAAAAATCATTTTGTGAAGGGTCCGTTAACGGACCCAAATTTCATCTAAACAGACCCCTGATAGTGTTTAAAAATAATGTTCGAAAGTTAAAAATAATGTTCGAATTTTGACTTTCTGTAAAGTTTACAAAGGGAGACCCTCATTGCTTCATTTTAAAAAACTCAGCTAAAAAGAAAGGAAAAAAAGCTCGCTTTGATATGGCGCAAGTGACCGGTTAGGTTTACCATATTGCAGTATCTGACCAAGCATGTGCTACCTTTTCGTAAAAGACATCCGGCAAAAAAGCTCCTCTTTTACCCAGATTGCAACGATAATGGGGTTTGCATGAGAACTAGCTTTATTAAAAGTATTTTGTGAAACTAGTTTCTCCTAAAGTTGAATTTGTGAAGCTCCCGATAAATGGTTGTAAATATATCCTGGACAGACCCCTGATTATGCTAGCATTTTCACCAAATACGACGTATGTGTTGCAGCCCATGAAGATGGGCATTACTTGTAACTTGAAATCTCACTATAAAGACAAATAGTGATGTGTGTATTAGAGGGGGGGAAAAACATGGACACAGAATACACAACATCTTTCTTCTAGAAGCAATCGTAGAAAAATCATGGAGGCAAGTGACACCAACAACAATACACAATGCAGTTTTGTGGTTGGTGCCATTGCTTCTGACATGCAGGTTCTTTGAAAGATTTGGAAGAAAAAGACTCCAATGTGGACGACGAAGATGAAGACAATTTATTGCTCTGTAGCTAGAAAAATGTCGAATGAATAGTTTTTGTTGGGATGTTACAGACCAATTTTAATATCATGATTATGAAGCGTGCACTTTTGGTATCCTTACAGATGATGACATTGTCTCCGAAATTAAACAAAAGAACAAAACTAAGGAAGAATACTTTTTAGAAGAAAATTCAATTTCAACACCATCTTTATCTAAAGTAAAATCAGCAGTAAATATCCTGAATAATTTTATTTTCTACCGAAAATGTGAATCAGAAAATACTGAATTCTTTGCAAATTATAGATAAGAAAATTGATAAACTCATCTTAAAATCAAAACCAACTTTTAGTAAAGTATTTTTCTCTTTAATTTTTGATTTATTATCAACTGAATTAGTAAATAATTTTTTTGAACAAATTACACCTAATGCCTGATATTTATAATTAACATTCAAGTCAAGAGAAACTAATCGGACCAAATAATAAACCTTAGAGCACAGCAAATTAATAGATTAATTTTGAGGTCAGATTTTAATACCTATATATATTGATCTTCTGCAAACAAAACTAATCTTTGTGCTATGATTCTGTTAGACTTTAAAAACAGAACTAGACCTTAGATCCAGAACATTCAAATTTACAGGCCTTTTTTTTAATATAATCAAGTTCTCAATTCAAAATAAAAATCTTCCATTCAAAGATATAGTACATAAAGAGTGAATATATTATGATTAAGAAAATAATGTGATTAGTAATTAAGTCATCGATAATTCAATAAAATTGAATTAAAGCTGAAATTTCTACAACAATTGTGTATGAAAGATCAAAATTAGATAATCTTTCTCAAAAGATAATACGACATATTAGATTCTTTTGGGGCATTTTTCGGTTAGTTCAGCACAGATAAATGCAATCTTTTTAATTTTATATTATTTTCTGTAAACTTCTTTTCTTAAATTAAAAAATAAAAATCGTTGACTTTACTTCTTCCAGACTAACCAAAAAGTACCTCTTTTTAATACATACAAATCCATTATGGTGATTAGAACAACACTTCACTAAAAATAAGATAAAACAAGCATCGCTAAATATGTTACTTAAATGTAAGCAAGTTTAAAAATGAAGTATGTATTATTTTTTTCTTTCTTTTTTTTTACAAAAGATAATTTAGAGGCCCAGAGGATGCATCAAAGCTTTCGTTCACGTTTCCGTTAGTATTTTTTGCTTATTTGGCACACTGTAGACCATAGGCTGGATCAGTGATTTACATTTGGCATGCCTAGAATTTACTAAATATTTGTACAGGATGCATAGCCAAATTATTCAACAAAAAATAAACTTTTCAAGTACTCAAAAAATATTTTTAAGCACTTTAAAAAAAATTTCATAGTTAGGCAGGGTTGGAAAGTTTTTGACAATTAACGGTTTTATATTGTTTTAACCGACATGTCAAAAAAAAAAAAAAAAACTTTCGGTCTTGTTTTGGACAATTGTCAAAAATCATGAAATTTTGAATCGTGTAAAATGAATTTCATACGCTACGAACTGACAATAAGCCAAAATAGATTGGGATTGAATTAATTGTGAAGACGTTGAATAGAACAATGTGAGCTGCGTCTTTTTGCATAATTTGTAACGAAAATCAACAAGGTAAAGGAAAAATCTCATTTTGAAAAAGGGAAAATTAAACACTTTTTAAAAACACCCATTGAAAAAAGCACCTTTAAGGGCTTTCAGAAAGCGCTTTTTAAAAACGCTACGCACCCTGTTTGTATGCCTTATTTTCCCTTGCAGCAAAATAACTTGGGCCCTCATTGGATTAATATTCACAAAACTTTACTTAATAAGGATTCAAAAGGTCATTATTTTACGATATTGGTCCAATATAGAATTATCAGATTCAACCAATATTCTAAATTCATTATTTAGCCAATGTAGTGTATCTATCACTACAAAATTATAATTCCAATTCACTAGTATATAAAACATGTTAGCTCGATTCTATGGTGGGGTACCTTTTCATAGATGAAGGTTGACTTTGTCGATAACTCCACCCCCACAGCCAATATGGGCCTTATTTTTGCCAAATGAAGGATGACATAAGCCCTATATAGGAACAATATTTAAAAAAAAAAAAAAAAGACATCTCCATATCAGTTCATGATCATATTAAACCCATATTCTGCCCAACTGGGACCAAGGTAAAATTGTTGCTATGATTTTTATTGATATATAATTAAGGTTTTCAAGTGCAGCTATCTGGCACTTGTCAAATTTTTACAGAAGAAAATTTAGTCACTGGTCAAAATAGGCATTAACTAAAATATATTACTAAAACTTGAACAATTTTACAAATCCGTTTACAAGCTACTATTAAATATTTCTTAAAAAAATTTATGAATTGAATTAAAAATAATAATACAGATAATGTATGATGTTATAAATTATGAAGAAACAAGCTATCTTATGCCACAAACACAGACCAAAACAGCATATCATTGCTTTACATCCGGTTGTTAGTCCGAGAGACCACTTCACTATTTTATGGCGGCCTTAGTGAAATTTTATTGGTACTGAACCACCATTAATATCCAGCATTCTTTTGCATTGAATCTGACATAAAACACTTTCTATACTTGGTTACGAGCATTTGTATTGATTTCTAAAGGAAAAATCATCAAGCAACTTAAAATTCCTTTTCTATTACGGAAATCTTTAGTGTATTTTTGATATTTATCCGGCACAATGCTCTAACAAGCACCACAATGATGATGAACAAAGCTTAATTACTTCTGTCAATTTACTTGGATTAAATTTATTAAGAGTCACAGTGACAGAGTAATGAAAAAAAAGTTCTACCAGCCCATTTACTATATCGACATAAATGTATTATATTTAAAGTTAAAGGAAATTGCAGCAAGAAAATTAAAATACTGGTAAGATTTCCCTATCTGTAACTGCGTTAAATTGGTCACCAAATTTTGAAGACACTTTAGAAACTAAAAAAACACCACAGAAGCAAACTAATTCAAAAAGTAAAAATCCTGACCTCTTATCACCTTTGAACATATTACACATATTTTTTTAAAATTTCTGCATGTTTGAAAAAACCTTTTGGTTTCTTTGTGAATGCAGTTTATGCAAATAGCTACTGATGCAGAAGTGTCAATAAGAGCTTGAAAAGTAAAACTGATTGCTATCACCAATAATAAATCACAGTAGAATATTATTCATTTTAAAACATGAATTATGCGATCGTACTTAGAGATACCATTAGCAGCAGCAAATGGTGAAGGTACAAAAATATATTTCCCAATACAATAAACAAAGATATTAGAATTAGATTCTTTAATTTAATATTTAGAGAATTGGCAGAAATTAAGGCAATTTAGAAAAATTTAAATAGACCTAAAGAATAGAGATACACTATGATATGGACAAGTTAATAAACTATTTGTCAAGTAATTTTAGAGCAACTACTTTAGTTTTATAAACTAAGTTAACCAAGATAAAACTTGCACATAAAACATAACAAAAAAAATTTATATCCCTAACTTTCAACAACTTATAACAAAACTTCTGATAGAGTTTAAATTTATTTTTAAAAATTCTAATTTTAGTAAACACTTACTTCCATTTGAGGCCATTTCACAACACAATAAATTCATACACACCAAATAAATAGAGACAGTAGTATAATACATAAATAAGTTACTTTTTTGACAGGAATACCTAATCCAGATATAGTTAAGATAATGCACAACAGTGCATGAAAAAAATGTCTAAATATATAGGCTGTAATAGAGAATGTTGGTAAATAATTAAGCATAAATTCTCTGCTATCATGAAAATTTCAGAATTACCTGAAATGGTCAAATAGATGCATAGAATTAAAAATGAGATTAAAATGTATATTATTTGGAAGAATGGGAAAATTGAATATGAGGCAATTATTTTTATTGCAGTTTGTATAGTAATAAAGAGAATACCTAAACCATTCCGATATTGTGTTTATTAATATTTATAGGAAGAAGGGGTAATAGAGAAATTACAACTTTAGTGTGTGAGACATGAATGATAGGCTCAAATCATTAATTATGATATTGTAAACTTAAAATAAACGTAAAATCAATTGTTTGTGATCTAAAAATTAAATAAGCGATTGAAATTGGGAGGAAATACATCATTGACTATTTAATGAATGACCTTCAATCGGGAATTCAGTCAAGTAGGAATCGGGGGATCTTTGTATTTGTCTACAAACCTAATAAAAGGAGTCTATGAGTTGCTCTGTATATCTGTTTATCTTTTTGAATCTGTCTTTCGATTTTCTTATTAGCTTCTTTCCTTCGTTTATCTTCCTCTGCATCGCCCTTAGAACTAGAACCTCCAAAACAGCCCATGACATTAGGCCTAAAGCCGGTCAGCCTTTAGTTGCCTTGAAATAAATAAATTTTATATAACCTCCCCTATCTTAATTCATGATCTGTATATTGACTATCAAAATGATTTTCAGGCTAATGCACACATTCATGAACATACAGTTTCCTTGCATAGATATCAGGTTCAGGAATTTAAACTAGTCATCACAGCAGATGCGACCTAAGCATTTATATTTTTACCGTACTCTCGTTCTTAATGCCAAACCAAAAGAGGCAGAGATAGATGTCAGTAGATTGGTAGTTTAAAAAAATAGAAATTTATATTATTTTTAAAATGTTAAAAATTAACATGCTAAATTGTATATAGTATACAAAATCTGAAAAAAATTTCGTTCTCCTATATGATTTCCAAACAACACACCCTTGACTTTTTTTCCTTCAAAAAAAGTTGTAACCGTCTGCGAATCACAAATGAATAAATAAAACAAAAACGAAACTTTATTTGCTTCACTTGAAGATTAAAGCTGCCATCTGGTGAATAAATACATTAACTCCATGTTTAAAGCCTCACTTCAATCCGTGCAACAATTTTGAGGCTGATAGCAAATATAATGGGACTCTGCAAGAAGAAGTGAAATGCCTAATTTTCAGTGACAATTAAATATCAGTTTTTAAGTTTGCCTTATTTTAGTGGAAATGCCAAGATAATTATTTGCTGCTCTGGTTGAATAAAATGTTTGGATGGTGTTTTCAGTAGAAATGTAAACAATCTCGAGCTGTATGGTTTGCTCTAGTTCCGGTTAAAAAGTTTGCGGCTGCTTACTACATGTTATTCTATGAGGCGATATTTTCTAACAGATAATTTTGTTTTCAATAAAAGAAATAAACTAGATAATTTCTGAGCTCAAATGTGCCGTATTTCATAGGATATTAATGTTATTATGTAATTCTGGTGAGTTTGAAGTGAAAATTTGTTTCAGTTATTTAGAGATATATTGTTAAAAAAAGTGACATGGTTGCTAGATTTTGAATAACTCCCTTTTTTGGCAGTCTTGATTTGGTCTCTTTCCATAAGTTTATTACTGTTTGTTCTTGTTGCAAGCTGTGCACCATCTTATGTTAGTGTTAACACTTTTAGCATTGTAAGCACAAGTATTGTCAGCATTGTAAACGCAAGTAATAAGTAATAAAATACATTGTTTCGCATTCTTAATTAAGTAATAATTTCCTTCAGTGTTTTAGTACCTCCATAACAAAACGTTTTTTATAAATTTGCCATTACAAAATACAATATTATGAATCTAAGTAATGTTTTTTTTAAAAATTATTACTCTCATTCCATTGATTAAGAGAAGTCACTCGTGAGGATTATCACAACAGTAAATTTTTACTTATTAGGGAGTTAATTCGCGTTCTTCTGGACACTATTTGTTGAGTTTTCATTCAGTTCCATCTAAATTACTGGTAGGATGTTTTTTTTTTTTCAGTAGAAAATACGAAACAAAATTTTCCCAAGTTTTTCCTTAGGCTGATGAACTTGATAAAATAACCCAGAACATCGTAAACAGTTTTTGAAACAGATCACACCCAACATATCAGGAACAATTCATTGATGATTTCCTTTCAATTATCAACAAACTTCTAACTGAGAACGCTCGATTTCCTTATCGCATACCATTATGGATGTGTATCACGGAAAAATGAAAACATTTTTTTTTAAATTCATTTAATTAAGGTAAAGATATTTAAGTCGATTTTCTACTTCATTCCCATGAATAAATGTTGTTTAAGAACGCGCACATCTGTAATAGTTTTAAAATATTCTTCTTCATAGAATCGTATATATTTCTGAGTCTATACAATTCGGAAAAAAGCAATAAAAGATCATCAGACTTACTTGAAATATCATTAATTGTGTTTATTAGTAATAAATTTTTTTATGTTTTCTTGGTAAGTATTGCAATTAGAATTCAGCTATTCTGTTTTTAAGTTACCAGTTACATAGTGAAATTAATATCGAGGTCTTGCAATTACAAAATTTTATAGTATAATAAGTCCTCTTAAAGTTGTGAATCGATCTCTGTATATATTATTTGACAATAAAATGTTTGAACCGAAGAACATTTTATTTTGGGATTTTCTGGATTTATAAAGCAGGTAAGTGTAATTATTTTGTAATAAAGAATTTACTTTTTAATATTTTTTTCCTTATTTGAGGATAATTCTGTACAAAATGGTCAAATACAACTGATTAAAAAATTTTAGATTAATAGAAAAAGGAAATCAATTTAATTTTAAAGAAATTTTAATTTTAATATGAAAAATTTCTAGTGCCGTTTTTTTTTATTATTTTTTTATTTTATCATAAGCACTCGTTATTGTAGATTTGTTAGCTTATAAATTAGAGTTTTATTGAAAATTTAAGTTTTCAATAAAAATTGTTACCAAAAAACCTGTTTTGCTAGATTAAATGATATGGCATTACGTATTTCTGTATACTTTACACACTTTAATGTTTGAAGTAATTTGATTAAAAAATTATGGGATGTAAGGTTTAAATAGACTTTTCATATTAGATCATTAAATTTTAACAGAGCAATTTCTCAAGGATTAGGATTTCTCCCGAATACGAATATCTATACGAATACATAATATCTATTTTTCTATTTATGTAAAAATATGTTTCCAATAAGTTTTGATGTTCCTTCTTTTTTTTTTTTTTTTTTTAAAAAAAAACTGTCTCCTGCATAAGAAATAATATAATTTTTTTTTTTTTTGCAATTAAATAAGCCGCAATAAGCTCCAAAAATGGGACGTTACCATGCTACACTGAAGAAATTTCTAGAGACATTGAAAGTATTATTCTACAAGCAATGATTCGCCTCAGCTAGCAACGCCCCAATAGGTCATTGCGTTCGTAAATAAGCCTAAATCCCCTGATTGCCATGCTTCTCGAAAATTATGATATTCGAAGAAATTAAATCGCGAAATATATATTTTTTGATATAAATAACAAATTTTGTTAGTGTCTTTGAATATAATATTATGCGTATTTTTAATGTGAATGTGTCCTCCTCACTGCTCTTTGATTCCTGAGAAAATTAAAGAGAGTACTAAAGAAAATAGTATCCGATAAAAAGTCTATTATATAAAGTTTTTTTCAAAGTTAAGTCAGAGGTGAAAGGTATAAATGTTTAAATTATCATAAAAGTTGAAGATTAAGTGAAAATAAAAATAACATTAAAAAAATATTTATTGATAAAGTTTTCAATGCAAATGTAACCAAAAACAAATCACGGACATTTTACACTCACGACTTCTGGATAGAAAGCTACCAGCAGCTTACTACATTTTATTGTGCGAAAAGATATTTTGAAACAGATCATTTTGTTTTCAATAAAAGATATAAATAATAGAAATTCTGAGTTTAAACCTTTTACATTTGTTAATATGTTGATTAGTATTAATAATTATGGGAAGTTTGACGTGAAAATTTGTTTTATGTCAATATATTGTTAAATATATATATATATTGCTAAAAAAAGATGACATAATTGCTATATTTACATACCCGTCGTTGAACAGCAGATTTAATTTTTGGGTTTACGACTACTAATGTTGAACTCCGTAGCCTTGTAATTTTGAACCAATCTAGAAGACAAAGAAACTTCTGGATCAGTATCTCCAGAGGTATTGATTTGTTATGGGAACATGGAGGACTTTGCGACTCGACAGATTTAGCGTGCGTCAGTCACCATTTACTACACGAGGAGTCTTCGGCCAGCGGGGGTCGAACCCACAAACTCTTGGGCATGGGCCCAATGCCCTACCAACCAGTCTATCCCGATCCCTAGTTGCTATATTTAGAAGTAACTCATTTTTTGGCAATCAGGAATTTTATTATAATGTACTACACTGCCAATGGAAATAATTATATACAAATTAGGGGGCCTACAGTGTGGTATAATCTGTAAGTAGGTATGTATATATTTCTAAATGCGTATAATAGCGACAAAAGTAAGAAATTGACGCTCGTATGCTGTACATATAAAAGACCCCATATCTTTCATTAATTTTAGTCTATAATTTTCAACCAAACTCACACATTAGATTATAAGATAATATATTACCAAACCAAAGGAAATAATTATAGACAAACTAGGGAGTCCAAAATGGTTCAAATGTCCACATTTACAAATTAGGGAGCATGGCCAAAATGGTTCCTTCAAAAAATCACGCGAAATTACTCAGAAAGCTTGCTACAAGTCTTTCAAGTGTAACTGGTAAAATTGCGCCAGTCCCGAGGGTTCACGGTACAAATCCTGGACGTGGATCTTATTTAAAAATTATATTTAAAAAAATAAATGCTTCTATTTATTTATTTTACAATATTGTTATGAACATTCTTTCTTTTTTCTTTTAACTTAAAGTTATTGTTTTTCTTCTTAAGTGCGTAATATAATAAAAACGTTAAAATGAAGAAATTGTTGCTTATACACTGTTTTATTTAAATATATATATATATATAGCCCCGTATGTCATCTTAATATTAACCTATAATATTCGAGCTGCGATGGCTCAGGGGATAGAGCGTTCATTTTCTAATGAGGTGAACCGGGCTCGAAACCTAGCGATGCTGATCGATACGAATTCCGCATCCGGTTTGCACCGATCACAGTGCTGACGTGAAATATTGTGAGTGGTAGACGGATCATGGGTTAGAGTCCCCTTGCCGCCAGACTAACCGTGGGAGGTTTTCCTCTCCATGTAATACAAATGCGGGTCAGTTCCATCAAAAAGACCTCCATGAAAGCTAATTTCTCCCAAAACCTTCTTCAGAAGTTACCTTGTCTTCTGGATTGGGTTCAAAATCACAAGGCTACGGAGTTGAACATAAGTAGTCGTAAACCCCAAATTGGATCGGCTGTTCAACGACGGTTATAAAAAAAACCCTATAATATTCAAGCTCGACGACATACTATAGTACCATCGCAAAGGAAATAATTATAAGGGGCCCACAATGTGGCATAACATGTCAGTATGTATATGCATATATATTTAAGTACGTATAAACGTTGAAATGGAGAAATTATGGCTCATATACTGTACATATAAGTGGCTCATATTTACAGTTAACATAAACCTATAATATTCAAACAAAATCGGTCAGGTATTATATTATGACATACTATACTACCATACTAAAGGAAATAAAAAAATAAAAAAAGAATTAGGGGCCCCATAAAGTAGTATAATATTTAAGTATGCATGTATACATTTTTAAGAGAGTATAACTTTAAAAGCAAGAAATTGTCGTTTAAGTACATTTAAATGGCCTCATATCTCCATTTAATATTAGCCCATAATATTCAAACTCCGTCAAGAATTTTATATGCTTCCATACAGAAAGAAATAATTATAAACAAATTAGGGAGTTCACAACGTGGCATGATATGTCAGTATGTATATATTTTTAAGGACGAATCATGGGGTTAAAATGAAGAAATTGTTGTTCATTTATTGTACATATAAATGTCCCCATATTTACATTTAATATAAGCCTATAATATTCAGTTAAGAAACTATATGGAACTGAAAACTAAAGCTACAGTAAACATAGTTCCAAAAAAATGCAATATTTCTTTTCTTAATATTTTTCGTATTTAATTGCTAAAAATATTTTTTTAAATTTCCATGAGGCTTTGAAAAAAGGGAAAATTGGAATAAAGAAAAGGAAAAATATCGCTTTCTCTTAGAACTATGTTTAATGTAGTTTTCAGTTCCATATAGTTTCGCAAATTAAAATATTTTGATCGATATAAAAATCATGACAGAAATTAACGTGCATCCCACTTTTATGACTCTCCACACGCTAATGGTGAAAGCATGAAAAGTGCTGCCATAGGTAGAGAGTTCTGCTCTACGCTACCTGTATCCCATTTCGATCACTAATATTGTTTACAAGGTAAGAAATGTTTTATCAGGATTCTTTTTTTTTTCGCATGACAATTTTAACGCCTTGAAATGACAGGTTGTGGGGATTTAATCTTAGACTATACCAACCATCATCTATCAAAAGGTACCTCAAGATAGAATCGAGTTAACGTGTCTTATATACTAGTGATTTGGTATTTAATATTTGTAGTGGTAGTTAGGCCACAAGGTCACTCTCAGCAGATTTGTTGAATTGAAGGTAGGTAGTTACATTATTTACGTTGCACCAGAGTTGTACAATGAACTATTGGTGACTGTTTGGGAAACATTCCTGAGGGAAAAAAGTGATGGCTCCCTGCTTTGGTAGCACGATGACTTGATGTGAGATCAAACACTTTAAGGTAGATCAGTTTAACGAGGACCGATACCACACACCCTCGGTCCCAGCGCAGATTCATCAAAGTAGTCAGTCACTCGTTTACTGACCGCAGCCAGTGATCCTTCTCTTCGGTGTTCTACTGGGAACCTTGTCTTTACGATCAGTCCACTGCGAGACGGTTGGTTGTTGTTCATTTACGTCGATCTAGAGCAGCACAATGGGCTATTGGTGACGGTCTGGAAACATCCCTGAAGATGATCCGAAGACATGCAATCACAATTTCGATCCTCTGCATAGGGGATTGTATTACTAAAGTAAGCTATAAGCAAACCTTATCTTGAGATTATATTTTAAAAATTATTCCTTTGCCTTTTCCCTGTCAGCTGTTATTATTTAACTGTATTTGTAACTGTCATCAATAAAAACGTAAACATGAAAGTAATGGAACGATGATGTTTTGTGTGGATATATTATAGTTTTAGGATTATTATTTTTTTATTCGTTTATGTTAATAAAATTTAAACATGTCCTTGCTTGTATTAAAAATATTATTTGATTATTTAAACTTATGTGTTAGTCAATATTATCTTAGTTGAAACTTCTAAGTTCGGAAAGTGATGATTTCTAAAACATGATATACATACGTCAGAATAAGGGGGGAAATCTTACATTTATTTTGGTAATTGTTCATAGTCTAATTTATTTTTTATGTTAATTTTTTTTATAGTTTTAGTGAGAGTATTTTTGAGAAAAAAAATATTGATTGCTTTAAATTAATCCTACACTAGTTGTAATTTAAAATTTCCGAAACTAGAATTAGCCACGAGTTATTAAATTTAAATTGTTTTAACGAGTTTTTTGTTTCGTTTTCATGTTCAATAAATTTCGTGTTTAATAATCTAAATAAAACGATTGTAGATTATTGAACTATGTTGCGAAATTTTTTACTGATTTCCTATTCCTATCAGTACTAATTCCTACCAACTACCTGCTCCAAAACGCAAAAGAGAGTTCTAACCAGGGTTCCTGATTTGTTTGATTTTTTTTAAAAAAAATCAAAAAAGTCAGATTTTGATTTTTGTAGATTTAAGTCAGATTTTTTTTTTTTTTTTTCAAATACACTTTAAGAACTTCGTTTTATGACTAAAAAAACTTTATAAATGTTTAATTAAAATTAAATTAATATTGAAATTATATTATAAGAATATTTTAGAAGCTCTAACTACCTAAAATAATTTTTCATTATAGTACATAGCTTTGAATACACATTAACTATTTTGAAACAAATGCATGATTGAAAGTTTAAGACTTGATGAAATAGAGAATTTAAGGAATACTTCAACTATTAAAACAAAGTTTCAATTACCAAATGTAGTAATTCATCAAAAAATAAATAAATATTTAATCTATATATTTTTATATTAAAATATTCGTTTTTAATCCTATATCAAAATAGATAAGCTAAAAAATTTTTTTTTTGAATCTATGTACTCATTGAAATTTTTTTTTCGCAAAATTTCTTTATAAAAAATCTGATAATGTCAAAGATTCTGTAAACATATTATCAGAAAAAAAATACTTAAATGTTTACTTTAATCTGTACTTTCAATCTCAAGAATCAAGACTTTTAAAAATGTAATTTCAAATGTGTTGGAATTTAACACATACCAAGAAAGAAAGTAATTTTGTTAGCTAAAATTAATTAATGCAGCAATTTATTTAAAATAAATTTTAACACTTTAAAACACTGTTAACTTTTTAAATCAATATATGCATAAAAAAATTAGTTGATTTAAATCAATGATTTTTTTAAAAAAATCATTCAATTTAAATCGTGATTAAAATCAAGCTGATTTAAATCAACAAACCCTGGTTCTAACTAGTAAATAAAAAAAAGTATGCAATAGACTGCTCAGGGGTTGGCTACAAGTTTTATCCTTTGAGTTGGTTTTCTTCTGTGATTTTTGTCTAGTTTCACATGTACCACTAATTGTTTGTAGCCAAAATTTGTAATTTAGCACATATACTGATATGGAAATCTCCCCATTAGTTTTTCTTATTTTAAATGTTCTTAATTTGTGAATAGAAAATTTATAATTGCAAAGTTAAGTATTAAATTAATTATAGTACCAAGAGTAGTAATTATAAGACATATTTTCTGTAACAGTAATCATTTACAAAAAATGAAATTATGAAAATATTTATTTTGCTGCATTTAATAAATTTACATTAAAATACAGTTTTTGATTAAATCTTAATCTGTTCTTTTAGGTTTTGAATTTGTCATGACGGCTTATTTCAACTTTTTCTCTATGGGTTGCTTGTGTGGGAAAGAATCTATTGATATCAATGGTAAAACCTTCACCATTAAGACCAGATTGGGAGAAGGGTAAGATAAGAGTTTTGTGAAAATTTGTAGAAACTACAAAGGAGTTTTTTTTCTTAAATTTTAATCATATGTGAATCAAAACAGTTTATTCTCAGATTTGTTGATAGATAAAGCATATGCACTCAGTTATGTTAGTCATTTCTGTGGTGGTTCTATTTATAATTGCCCATTTTTTTTAAAATAAGAAGACATCAATTTTAGTTCCGGGCCTTGATAATTTTAATTATCCAAAGTTTCTTAACTGAACTATTGTGTAAATCACTGACAATTCATGCATATTTATTATTTTTAGTGGATTCAGTGTTGTAGATTTACTCCAAGACCAGAAGACTCATAGATACTATGCTCTCAAAAGAATTGCGTGCCACTCTAAAGAAGATGAGAAGAATGCCCTGAGAGAGGCAGAATACCACGGCATGTTCAATCATCCAAACATTGTAGAGTGTATAGACGTGTCAGTGGCTGAAAGAGTTGATAAACTCCATCCAAGTCATAGTGAAGTTCGTCTACTTCTGCCATATTACAGGGTAAATTTATTGAAAAATTGTCCATCAAATCAAAGTTTTTTTTAAAACAGAAGTAGGAAATTCAATTTTGAAAAAAAAAATTAGAAAAAACGCATTGATTCCCCAAAATGTTGCAAAATTGTGCTACAAACCTAGAAAATAGTTATCCTTAATATTCACACAGATTTTGCCGATGTGCCATAACGAATCAATTACAACTAAAAATCGTAGCGTGGGTATAAAAAACTATTTATTACATTCCCCAAAGAACACTTAATTCTCTGGCGTGTAAAAAAAATGTAGGAAAAATTTTAATTAAAATTTAAATATACTCCTATTTACATTTTTCTTTATTTATATTTATACTAAAGGAGAAAATTAAAATAATTCTGTGTGTCATATAAACATTGTTGCTTTTCTTTGATGGAAGTGTTTGATCTGTCCTTGATTGTATAGATGTAACCCTTTTCTTGTTTTGAATTTTTTTTATTGTTTTGTAATAGAATAATTGTGAATGTATACACTAATCGATGCATAAAGAGCTAGAAAATTTATATTCATTCGATTTAAATCGTGATTAAAATCAAGCTGATTTAAATCAGCAAACCCTGATTTGAAGTTCTAGATGTGCTTAAGTGCTAAGTACAAAATATCAAATACACCCTAGCAACAATTTTATCTTGGCCCCAGNCTTGTAATAGAATAATTGTGGATGTATACACTAATCGATGCATAAAGAGCTAGAAAATTTGTATTTTTAATAGGTTACCAGGGTTCTTGCTGTCCTAAAATGTCCTAAAAAAGTGCTAAAATTTTTTCCCAATTTTTTTAGGGCCTAAAAAGTGCTAAAATTTCTTCTGAGTGCTAAAAAAGTGCTAAATATTTTTTATTTTGGCGTTTTGAAAATTTTTTTGAGTGATCGGATTCCTTAAATCGGTTTCCCTAAATCCTTAAATTCTGTTGCCTTCAGCTCTCCTGCTGCCTCCATCTTTTTAGAAGATTCTTGGGCTTTGGGGAAAGAAGTTCTTTCTTCTGAGATTTTATGGGCTTTAAAAGTTGTAGAAAGCTACTACTCCTACAATTCTTCCAAAGACACTGGAAAATTATTTAGTACAATGTTTCCAGACAGTTCAATAGCACATCATTTCACCTGCAGTGAATCTAAGTGTGCATATCTCTGTCATTTTGGACTTGCACCTCATTTTAGCATGCTACTTCTGAAGTGCATTGATAATGCGAAGTTTTATACATTGCTTTTTGATGAGTCTTTGAACAAAGCGACACAGTAGAAGCAGTTGGATATACATATCCACTTATGGAGCCCAGTAAAGAACATTGTAGAGACGCGATACTTAACATCAGCTTTTTTGGGCCATTCTGTAGCAGATGACCTTTTAGCCTGTTTTTATGCATCAGTCAAAAATGTACACCTTAAGAAATTATTGCAGATTTCTATGGACGGTCCTGCTGTCAATTGGAAGTTTTATAATAATATTCAAGAAGATTTGTTAAAAGAACATGGTGTTCAATGCAATGCAATAGGAAGTTGTGGGCTTCATATTTTATATAACGCATTCTACAAAGGTGAATCTGAAACAGAATGGCTTATTGGCTCCATCCTGAGCTCAATCTTCTATCTTTTTAAAGATTCACCCATAAGAAAAGAAGATTTTATTAATCAATCAACTGAGAACAAATTATACCACTAAAATTTTGTAACCACCGTTGGCTGGAAAATGCACCTGCAGCTGAAAGAGCGATATTGCTTTGGAATGATCTGAAATCTTATGATAAAAATGTTGGCAAGTTTAGAAAAGTGAAATGTAAATCCTTTTTAACTTAACAAGAAGCAATAAAAGACAAATTAAATCTTGTTAAGCTGAACTTTTTCTTATATGTGTCGCAGCTAGTTTCACCTTTTTTGATACTGTATCAAGCAGATCGGCCACTTTTACCATTTTTTGCTGCAGATATCCAGGATTTGGTATTACATAGTGTGCAATTATATAACATTCTAAAGCCAGAATCTACAGAAAACTTAAATTCTCTGGAGAAACTGTGCCATTTTAATTTTTGTGATGAAAAGAATTACGTCCATGGGTGCAAGTCTTCCGTCCCCAGGACGGATTTCCGTCTTTCGAAATTGTCCGCGGACGGAAGTAAGACGGAAACAAGACTGACTCGAAGACGGAAATCGGAATTATTTTTTTTTTCTGTCCTTAAAAATACTTTTTAGGTCTACGTTATTGGTCTACTTTCTTATGTCCTGTTGTTATTTTATCAAAAGACAGATGAATAAATATTTTTTGTACAGTATTTAAACTTGATGNAGAGAGGCAGAATACCACGGCATGTTCAATCATCCAAACATTGTAGAGTGTATAGACGTGTCAGTGGCTGAAAGAGTTGATAAACTCCATCCAAGTCATAGTGAAGTTCGTCTACTTCTGCCATATTACAGGGTAAATTTATTGAAAAATTGTCCATCAAATCAAAGTTTTTTTTAAAACAGAAGTAGGAAATTCAATTTTGAAAAAAAAAATTAGAAAAAACGCATTGATTCCCCAAAATGTTGCAAAATTGTGCTACAAACCTAGAAAATAGTTATCCTTAATATTCACACAGATTTTGCCGATGTGCCATAACGAATCAATTGCAACTAAAAATCGTAGCATGGGTATAAAAAACTATTTATTACATTCCCCAAAGAACACTTAATTCTCTGGCGTGTAAAAAAAATGTAGGAAAAATTTTAATTCAAATTTAAATATACTCCTATATACATTTTTCTTTATTTATATTTATACTAAAGGAGAAAATTAAAATAATTCTGTGTGTCATATAAACATTGTTGCTTTTCTTTGATGGAAGTGTTTGATCTGTCCTTGATTGTATAGATGTAACCCTTTTCTTGTTTTGAATTTTTTTTATTGTTTTGTAATAGAATAATTGTGAATGTATACACTAATCGATGCATAAAGAGCTAGAAAATTTATATTTTTAATAGGTTACTTACACTTTATGTAAAAGGGACAGAGAAATTCTGAAGTCCTGGGCTCCAAGTATCCATAGTTTCCAAAGTCTGTCAAAATCACTGAGTTCACCTTAACTATAAGTAATGAATTTCAAAGTAAAACATACCAAACATCAATTACTATTATTTCCAGTGAAAATTCTATTACAACATGGTTATATAATTCCTATGATTTCTTAAGAAATTATATTATTAGTTTGTGCAAAAAACTTTGAAATTTCTTATTTTGAATTTTTCTTAAATGTAATTATATTTACAGTTCATATTTATAATAATTATTTAAATTAAGCTTTCTGTATAAATGAGTTATAGTTCTTAATCACTTGTAAGATATGTGATGGCCACATGTTTGATTTGACTGTATTAACTCCTTGCCAGTGTTGCTCGAATCCAGTTCGGGCAATAACTACTTGTATTATTTGTGATGCCCAAATTGATTTTGGGCTGGGAAAAAATTAACGTTTCTATTTTGTGAAGCCCAAGCTTAGTTCGTTTCTACTTTAGGATACTTAATTCACTATTTTTGCAGTAGATGGCATTAGTGGTCCTAGTTTTTCACTGATTATGACTTTATATGAGGGAGGGAAATGCGGGTGGTGGTTTTGGGATATACCATACTGTAAAAGATTTATAAAATTTATGTACTAGAAATCATATTGTTATGTTTTTATATAATATTATACTAGTTATATTATATCTAGCTTCAAAATTTTGTTTAATTTGCTCTAATTGAATAAGATGTGTGTGTAATCCATTGCTTTTTTTATGTGTATGTAAAAATTATAAATACAGTAGTTATTGCATTTAAATTTTTATTTTGCAATAAATAACCATTTTCTAACTTTTATAATGATATAAAGAACAAAATTAAACAGTTAAAAAAATGTTCCATTTTTGGTCTTTTTTTCTGAAATATATGTCACTGTTAAGGGGTTAATAAGCCATATTACATAAAGTTTTTAAATTTTTCTGTTTCTTGTGCAAAATATTGCTTCTATCTATAATTTGTATTCTTGTTCAATATGAAATCTACATGTCAAAACTAATGGAATTTTCTTTCCTTCAAAATGTAAGATTTTATATATATATAAAAACTCAGTGGCGCTACAGTCCCTATGCCCATCTCAGTTTTCTTGTCCTTGGGCTCTGGGGTGCAGGAGCAGACATTCCAGTTAGGTGGTCAGCCGAACGCAGAATCCCTGGTGTTTAGTTCTCAAGCATGCTTGGTACTCATTTATTGACCCACTGAAGGGATGAAAGGCTGAGTCAACCTTGTCCGGCCGGAGAATCGAACCCACGACCTGTGGCACGGGAGCGTGAAGCGCTACCACTCTCTCTCTCTCTCTATATATATATACATATACATTTTAAATTGTATAGTAAGTTTTATTGTTGTTGAAAAGATATATTTCTGAAAAATGTTGCAATGTATAACAAATATGAGGCCTGGGATATCAATGGTATTTTCTGGGAAAACCTGGAAAAGGAAGAAAATTTTTAATAAAATTGTCTATCCTGGTTGTTATTATTTTTTAAAATTTAATAGAGAGGAACTCTCCATGATGATCTGATTTTGGAGACATTTTGTATGGAAATGTGGAAAAATGATGGAATTTTATTACCCAAATTGAGTGCAATGCAACCAAAAGTGGTTGCATTTAAAAAAAAAAAAATTTATTGGTACTTTATTATTGATTTCATTTTTTTTATTTTTATTATCTCTAGAGAGGGACTCTTCATGATGAGCTGACTATGCGTTCTAAAAGTAAAAACCACCTTTCAGAAACGAGAATATTAAGGCTGTTCAGGCAGATGTGTGAGGGTATAAGAGTGATGCATAATGCCCAACCGCATCCTTTAGCTCACAGGTAGTATTCCTTATCATATGGTTACAAATTAAGTTTTACTGTTTATTTTAATACTATTCCATTTCCATAAAAAACACTTTAATATACAATGTTAGTAGAACCTATTGCCACAATTAATTAAGCATCACTGGGATAGAAATAAAGAGAGGACCAGTGACTTATTTTTCTTAATTACTGTTCTTAATTCTTATTGGTCTAAAGCAGATCAACCCCTGGTCTGGGAATTGGTACCGGTCCATAGATCAAATGGTGATGGACCATCCAAGTAACATAAAATTATTTCCATTATATTTACTGTGGATGAAGAAATATTTTATTTAAAAAAAATTATTTTGCATTTATCTTAGTTATGATTTCTAATAAACCTCGTAAAAATTTATTTTGAGAGCTTATTTTTTGTTGAGAAATTTGGCTATGAACCATGGATAACATTGTTCCCAGGTTAAAAACTGTGTAATCATTCTAACAGATGTAAAGAACAGTTCAGGGCTGATTGTGCTCCGGAAAAAATCCGGATTTCAAGACTTTTCGCTAACAGTGATCCGGAAGTTTCTGGAGATCAAAGGTCCAGACGTTTCAAAAAATCATTGATCACTGAAGTTTCTGGAAAGCCAATTTTCAAAGGTGGAACTTAAAAACACAGTTTATTTTATTTGTTTGTAAGGGAGAGCCAAAGATATACTTTATAAGCTTATATTCATGATTAATATAAATTTTTTATCAGTAAATAGTTGTTATAATCATAAACTCGAGAAAGAAAGACATATTTGTAAATTTAAATTACTTCTCCAGCTCATCATAGGTATGTGTAAATGGTATAGGTGTGTGTAAAATTTTAAATATTTTAAGTAAACTAAGAAATATTGTAGAAAAGGAAAAAAAACTTGTTTAAATTTTTTTCTAATTTTTTAATTTAAACTTTTGTTTTTTAACACAAGAAATTTTCCGGAATTTCGACTTGGGCTCACAATCACCCCTGACAGTTGTAAACAAAGTTATGAATTTAATTAGTAATTAGAGATAACGTAATTAGTAATTTAATTAGGAGATAACGTTAATTAATAATTTAATTAGTAAATAAGAATAATTAGATAGAATTAGGAGATTTGACTAGGAAATTAGTGTATTTGATATTATTGATGAAGGAAACATACAAAGTTTTGATAAATAAACTGTGGTTTCTATGCTTAGTTTTGCTAAATCTTACATTGTCATGTATTAATAGTAAAACTTTGTTACTAGCATTCCATTATTAAATGTGTCCCGTAGGGGGCTGATCGTAAAGACATGTATACTCCCAGTAGAAGACCGAAGTCAAGCATCACTGGCTGCGGTCAGTAAGTGGGTGGGTGACCACTTTGATCAGCCTATGTAGGGACCTAGAGTGCACGGCATCTGTCCTCGTTAAACTGTTCTAGTGTAAAGTGCTCGACTTTGCACCCAGGCTGTCAAGCTATCAAAGGGGAAAAACCATCCCCTTTGCAGAGGATCGAAATTGCGATGGCATGTCTTTAGATTATCCTCGGGGATGTTTCCCAGGCTGTCAAAATAGTCTAATATGCAGCTCCAGTGCTATATGAATAAAAAATACCATACCATGCCATTATTAAATGTTGTATTTTCTGATTGTGGTTCTAATAGTGCTATCATGCATTAATTCTCTTGTTCTAAGTTTAAATATTCTTTGTAAATTATTGTTGCAAAGTATCAAGATTGGAAAGCTTTTGACTGTTTTAATCTTAGATAAAATCACAAATGTTGTGTCGAAAATTAAATTTTTTTGTTTACTTGTTATTATTAACAATATTATTCTTTATATATATATTTTCAATAGCGCATGGCATGTAGTATTTTAATGCAAATATGCTGAAAAGAAAATATCTTAAAAAAAGTATTTATTTTTTACTATGCCTTGAATATGGTTTGCCAAATTTTAACTAAATGCTTGGAGCTTTAAAATCCTAAAATTGCTTGAAAGGAAACATTTAAATAACATCCTAATAACATATAAGTATCCTCTGTGTCATTCTTTAAGTAAAAAGATTAGATAATAAAAGATTTGGTAATAAAAAGATAAGGTATTTAGGTAAAATTTCAGTGGATTAGTATAATTATAAAAAATGTTGATCATTCAGAATCATTTCCTATTTTCTTGAATTATTCTTTTTTCTTTTGAGAATTCTGTACGAAAATTAAACCAGTGTATTATTTTGGTTTTTATGCAGTTTTAAGACTTTATATTTACAAAAGACACAAAATCATGACTAGGAAACAAAAAATTTCCAATTCAATAATTTGAAAGCAAAAATAATAGGTGCACTATGTTAAGATTTTTTAAGTCTGCTACATAATTTCTTGAAAAGATTCGAGCTATCAAGTAAAATAAAGCAAGAGAACATAGGAAAGTAAAGCAAAAAATGTTTTTGCTTCTACTCAAAACTGTGATTTATATTTTAATAAAATTCTAGTTTAATAGATATTTATATATTGAACTAATGTTTAAAGTATGCTTTTGAAATTCACATGCATTATGATTTCATGACTATCATTTCTAAGTTTTTGACAGATTTAATCAAAATCTAACCCTGTATAATATTATGAATTTGATGCATTTTACCCCCTGAAGCAGCATTAAAACAAAAATCTTTTTACTTAAAAAATTTGGTGCACATTATTAATTTTTATCATTATGTTTCTTGTACAATATTTAAAGTTTATTTTTTACAATTTTATGATTTACATATTCATTAACAACACCTACAAACAAATCTGCATTCATGTCTTAAAAGGGGCATCTATTAGTTTAACTGTTATGGCCCGAAAAACTAAGTTTAAACTTGTTCTTTGCCAGGCATCCAGTCCCCAACAATACTGCATGGTGTGTAGTGTTTTTAAAAAATGGTTAAAAGTGCTTATTTTCTGTTTTCGTTTTTTAAAAACTTTGTTAAAGTGCTTTTTTCATGAGGTGTTTTTAAAAACTGCTTAATTTTCAGTTTTCGAAAATGGTATATTTTTTCTTTACCCTGTCGATTTTCGCTGCATGTTATACAAAAGCATGATTTTCACATTGTTCTATTTAACGTTTTCACAATTCATTAAACCAAAATTCATCATTTTGGCATGCCCTCGGTCTGTAACGTATGATAGCGCTATCATGTGACATGTTTGATGAAATACTTGGGAGTTCACATGTGCGTCTACTGAGCTGGGTTTAGTGACATTCTTCTACTCTCCTCTGCAACTCTACTGCATTTTACAAGATATTCTCTATTTCAGGCTTTATTTTTCACCCTCTGAAATCAAATTGAATAATCTCTGTCTTTTTATAGTGGCTAATATAATCAGGAAAAGACTTTCTTGTCAGAAACAGGTTATTTTATCATGATGATCATGTAAAGTTTTTGAAAATTGTTTTGCATTTTGTTAATCTATATAGTGCTTAAAAATATTTTTGAATGCTTAAAAAGTACTTTAAAGGTGCTTATTTTTTGTTGAGAGATTATGCTATCAGGGGTCTGTCCAAACATTTTGTGAAAGGTCAGTTTTTGTAAAATTGTGAAAAAATTACTCGTAATTTGTGAATATAAGATAAACGTTAAGTCACATTCTTTCACCTAGGGTCCTGTTTTTGTGAATTTGTGCAAATAGGCTCCTTTTATTGCAAAAAACTTTTTCAAGGAGTTTTTAAATTGTAAAAAGATACAAGATTATTCTCAACACTGTAAAATTATAATAAAAAAATTAAATTTTAAAAAATAAACAGCAATTGCTGCTACTAAATTAGCGATGCAACATACAATTATTTGGTATTTAGCCTATACTGCTGAACGCAGAATATTCATTTCGGACGAATAAAGGAAGAAGCGTCTGCCGAAGGCAAAACTTAGTTCGTTTACATCTGTCTTTCTTTCCCCCCACCATGGGAAGAATTTATTCGATTAACAGAACAACAATGAAGATAAACAAATTTGTAAAGGGTCCGATTAAAAGATAAATTATTTTGTGAAGAGTCCGTTTTTAAGTTAAAATATTTTGTGAAGGGTATGTTTTTATGAAAAGATATTTCGTGAAGGGTCCGTTAACGAACCCAAATTTATTCTAAACAGACCCCTGGCTATGCACCCTGATACTAGGAGTGGAGACGGCAGTTGCAGTCCATCACATCCGCCAAGATTACTTGTTAATATGAGTTCAAACTTGCCCCATTTCTGCTAGTACAATATGTGAAGAGAAAAGTTCGCTGTTACAATATTTGACATAAATGATTATGCAACATTGAAGTGAAATTAACACTGTAGATAAAAAACACATAAGACATATATCTGTGTATATAATTATACAACAAACATTTGTTATGGTACGTTAGGGGTGCACAATCTTTTTGAGTGAAGGATCACATGCACAACAGATTGACAAATGAAAGGCTGCATGCCCAAGTATTTAGACAGGCATGTTGATAGCAATTATTGGTAGTGATAATTATATAAACATCATTGTTCTACCCACTAAATTCTTTTTATCAGTTAACCTTGTGATATGTTTGCATAAACTTATATACTTTTAAATGTTTAAAGTTAAAAACTGCTAAACTGATTACTTAGGAAAAAAAAAAGAATCAGAAAATCAGAATAAATTATCAGAAAAAAATTCAGATAAATTAAAATAAATGAAAGCAATAAAAAACTTGTTTTTTTAAATCACCTTACGAAATACTTAAGTCTATTTAAAGACAAATTTCAACATTAAAAAATTTGTTCATAGAACTGAATTTAAAAGTAATAAATATTCTAGTTATTAAAATAAATGCAACTTATAAATACTTTAATTTGAAGAAAGTTTATAGGGTTAAAAATGATTAAAATTAAAACAAAACCCCTTCAACTCTCTGGGAAGGTTTCGATTTTGCTAAAATGCATAATTACTTTTAAAATTATTTTTTTTTTTAAAAAACAGAATCGAATTTCATGAGTTGTATTATCCAGATATGCAAAATCACAAGTAAAAATACAGCAATAACTGCCATAAAAAAGAGGGAAAAAAAGTTTAAAAAACCTCTTATATTTATGTTAAAATCGGTACAAATAGAACATGTAAAAAGTGATTATTTTAATGCCGTGAAACTATAGTATTAAAATATCAGGATTTTTTAAATCAAAGGGTAAAACGTAGTAACAACTACCTAAAAAACTATCAAAATCCCTTGTAGTTACGATGAAATAGGCATAAATAAAGTGTTTCAAAAAGTGATGCATTTAAATGCAGGATTTAAAATTAAAGTGTCGCAATATTGTATAAAAAGTATCTGGGCTTTCAAAATCTTGCGGAAATTTGTAGTAATGATTGCCAAAATAATGATTGAAAAATAATCTGATTTGCAATAAAATCAGCATTAATGAACCACGTCAAAATATAGTTATCTAAATGAACTATTCATAATAATATCATGCTAAAAATATTGAAATTTTAGCAATGAAATGCTGAAGAAAAGTAATTTAGATTTGCGATAAAGTTTGCGCAAATAAGTGTGTCGAAAACGAGTTTATTTGAATGCCCCATTCAAAACTTTCAGTACGTTAATATATATTTAAAAAAAAAAAAATTACGATTTCTGAAACTACATGAAAATGGGTAGTAATAACTACCAAAAAGTCCTTGGACTTACTATGAAATTTGCACACATGAAGAGCGTCAAAAGTGATAAATAAGATTTGTATTGTCATAATAAAGTCATATTAAAAATATTGGGATTTTCAAAACTATGTTTAAATCCGTAGCATGAACCATTGAAAAAAAGCGATCAAAAAACTACATTGGTTGACATTGTGTGTATCAAAAACTTAACTGCACAATTTGAAATTTCTGATTTTTTTTTGGATTTTTTTTAAAAACAATTTAATTATATTTTTTATTTTGTTCAGCTTGCTACCTCCGGCTGCACATTGAATGTTGGCGGGCCTCAGGTTGAGCCCCCCTGTGTTACGTCAATGAATATTATTTAAATTGTGTGAAACAATAAGCTCTGCACTCAAAAGAGGACTACAGTTATCTTAAATTATTATTGGCATGCTGTACATTGTAGGATATAATTTCCACACAGTTCAGAGAAAAAAAATTATTATGAATATGATATTTACACAATTTTGACATATTTACATGGAAGTGGAAATAGACAATGTCACATAAGTATTTTAGGAGGCCTTGATACCCCAAACCATTATTAATTATCTTACCCTGACATATAAAGAACAAGCATCTATTTTTTTCTAATTTTTTTTTCTTTAAATTAGATAGAAATCCTTTTAATTCTGCTCAAAAGATACTTTGTTTAAAATGTATGACATTTTTACTTAACTAGAATGAGTATTGCCATGTGATTTTATTGTGGTTAAAATATATTTTCCATTAATTTGAAATTTTAATAACTTATTCTGAAATATTTACAGAGATGTAAAACCTAGCAACGTGCTCTTAAGCAATGATGATAAGCCGGTGTGGATGGATTTTGGTTCTATGGGAAAAGCGAGGCAAGAAATACATAAATCATCAGAGGCCAGAGCACTACAGGTAATACTAGAATTTTCTAAACCTGTGGCTTCAGTTTTTGCCTACAGTTTTTTTTTATTTTTATTTATTTATTTATTTTTTTGTTTAATCCTATTAAAATTTATGTACATTACCTTATTGAATCCTTTGCTTTACCTTACATTAAAAATTAAAAAGTTTTTATTTATTTATTTTTGAACAATTAAAAATTTTTACATATGTTTCTATCTTTAAGAGAAAAGTTCTCTTCTGGGGAAAGAGCTTTAATCTCTTCTTAATGTTATTGAAATTTATGCATATTACTATACTGAATCTTTTGTCTTTTATTTTTTGGCTATAAATATTTTTTTCATGTTTAAATTTTTTTTAAAAAGCTCTCATCTGGGGAAAGAGCTTCAATCTTTTTTTGATGTTATTGAAATTTATGCATATTACAAGACTAAACCTTTTGTTTTGCCTTAGATTATAAAGTCAAAAAAATTTTTTTATTTATTTTTTGACAATGATTATTTTTTACATATATTTAATTTTTTTAGAAAAAGTTCTTGTCTGGGGAAAGAGCTTTAATCTTTTTTTAATGTTATTGAAATTTAAACATATTGCAATAATAGATCTTTTGTTTTGCCTTAGGTTATGAAGTAATTTTCTTTTATTTATTTATTATAAATGCAAAATTTAATAAATCTCTCCAGCACAAATTTAATTTTATACAAAGTGTAATTTTTAATATGTATTATTTTGCTATATTAATTGCATTAGGTTAGAAAAATATTAAAATATAAGTCATAATTATCATCTGTTTTAAATGTCGAAATCAAAAATTTGAATGATATCAGTTACAAAAAAAAAGAAAGTTTTAAACTGTCATATTTTTATTTCCTCATTAATTGATTAATTTCAAATTTGTGATATTTACATTTAAAATTAGGTATGTAGAGAATAAATTTAAATCTTTTAGGATTTAGCTGCTGAAAAATGTTCCATGGCTTACAGAGCTCCTGAGCTTTTTAATGTTGAAACGCATACATCTTTAGATGAAAGAGTTGATGTTTGGGTAGCTATTATTACCTTTCATAAATATTTCTTCTCATTCGAAATCTCTTGCTATGCAATCATAAATTTTTGTCCAAGATTGAATGAATACTTTAACCTCATATGTCAAATCAAGCAAAGGAGGTTAGAGGGAAATTAAGACAGCCCTAGGGATCTTTTTGGCAGAATTTGAAAAAAATGAATGAAAATTTATTCCCTATTAAAAACTTTAGTAGAATGAGGAGTGTCTGGATGGACGGTCCCGCAGTGGACTGATCGTTAAGGCACGGTTCCCAGCAGGTCACCGAAGTCAAGCAACACTGGCTGTGATCAGTGTGCGGGTGAGTGACCACTTAGATCAGTCTGCGTAGGGACCGAGGGTGTGCGGTATTGGTCCTCGTTAAACTGTTCTACCATAAAGTGCTCAACTTCGCGTGCAGGTCGTCGGGCTACCGAAGCGGGGGTGCCATCCCCTCCGCGGAGGATCAAAATTGTGATCGCATGTCTTCGGATCATCCTCAGGGATGTTTCCCAGACCGTCGCCAATAGCCCATTTTGCAGCTCTAGTGCGACGTAAATGAATAATTAAAATCAATCAAATCTGGATGGACATAAGTAAGGTTGCCACTCCACAGGGGGGATAGGGAAGACTTGGAAAATTCTGGGAATCTAAAAATCACCTAAAATAACAGGAAACAAAACAGGGAAATTTTTTTTTTGTCTTTTAAAAAATAGTGACCAATCAAAGTGCAATCTATGGCATATTTAAAGATGATATTTCAGTTGCGTTAAACTATTTCATTTACTATAGCATTATTTGCTTTAAGTATGTTCAGGAATGCTTTTATTTTTCTAAGTTTATCCAGCAATTAAAACTAGTATAGTTAGCCTATTGTGATTCACTCAAGAGCCCAGTGATTATGTGTTTCGTCTTACTATATTGTGTATAATATGTACATGGAAAACACAGGGTGTTTTTTTTTCTCTCCAGATATGAGTGGCAACCCTGATAAGTGTTGTGCCCTTCCTCTCTTCTGTTGCCTACTAGACAATGAGGGTATTCAACTCATTTAATAACCAGTACTTTTAAATCATTTTGGGTATTTTTTAGAGGAAAAAAGGAGCTATGATAGATTATAATAATCATCCTTGAAAAGTTTAATCTGAGTTGCTCACCTCACTCATTGCTAGTGCATTAAAAATAATATTTTTAATTCTTTACTTCTAGTAAGTAGTAAATATAAATTTATGCAAGTATGAATACATTTTCTTTAAAAAAAAATAGTGAAAAATACGTGATATTTTAAAAAATCTTATTTAAAACATTTATCATTCAGTAAATTTTAATAGATTTTCTGAAATTCGTCTATGAAGCTGTAGATTATATATTCATTAGAATATATAATGAGGGCATAAAATAACATTTTACCTAGAATGACCATTGCAGTCAAAAGGACAGATATGGAGATTTCACTGCATACTTGGATTTAGCACATTAGTTTCCCCCCATTGTTTATCCTAATTTTATTTGAGCACATGCCTGGCTAGATTGACACTGTTCAAGTTTTTTTAAAAATGGAAACTCACCTCCTGCTCGCTGATGCTCTCCAACCCCTCGTTATCGTTTATGCGATTGTCAAATGTTTCTATTCAGATTACTTCAACATATAAAATCACAGTCGTCTTAGAAATGACTAATTTGCCCAACCTCCCGAGAAAGAATTAATTTTTGAAAAAAATAACAAAATTAATTTAACAGCTGTTGCCATTAAAAATTATATACTTTAGATAGGATAAAAAGGACTATGAAATTTGGATTAAATTTCTGGTGATCTATGATCATTATAGACAAAATATTTTTTGAAGAGTTTAATATATCTAGTAGTGAACATGTCATGTTGTTCTTTTGTGGGGAAAAAAATATTCCGATGGACATCTTTTTACATCTTAAAAACTTGTTTACTCTTTAATGGTCATTCTAGCTTGGTAATTATGTCGATCGTTCTAGTGTTAAGAAAAATTATGTAAATGATTTTTTATTATTTCTCATAGAATTAGATTAATTAAATGTGTTAAAATCATAATAATAAGATCAAAGAGTCTAAAAAATAATTATGTTTCTTTCAGACTAAAAATGTGGAATGCATTACTTTCATAATAATATTCGGTACTTTTCGGTTAGTCGGGCGCAAATGTCGCCAGTTGTGAACCAAATGTGAGCCAAGTCGTCAAGCGAAGTGAATAACAAAACAGTCAATGGAATAAAAGTCAATTTGGACAATTCGAATCACATACCTTTGCAAATGCTCTTCGTCTTGCGGCATGTTGAAATATTGCACTGCCAATGCACTCCGTCACAAAAAGACAGTTTCCTTTCATGATTCTGGTCACATGTTGCATTCTTGACCAATATACCTTTCTCTTGAAAAAAAAAAAGACTGCATCTCCTTCAGTTCTAGCTGAATCCCAAATTTTCATCATTTTTTAAAACAAAAACTAAGATTGAAGAAATAAAGGAAAAATGTGCTTTGTTTAGAATGAATTTCGAGAATAGGGCACGTGGTTCCAAACTAACATTCCCTCTGTGGTAGTAAGAAATTTGGCACAATTCTACATTATTTGGTGTTTTTTCGCTTGTGCTCGGCTAACGGAAAAGTATCTGATATTCTATTGCTACTGAAAACCACAAGAAACATTATCAAGAAAGCTATGAATTAGATTAATTTTATTTTGAATTAAGGAGAATTGTTTTCTTCATTTTTTAATTTTTTTGTTTCTGTTTAGTCCTTAGGTTGTTGCCTCTATGCAATGTGTTACTTCAAGTCCCCATTTGAAGCAGCCCATGAGAGAGGAGACAGCGTTGCATTGGCAGTTGTCAGTGGAATCCTAGATTTTCCAGAAAACTCACAGTAAGACTTTTTTTTAAACACTTTCCATTCCTCTCTGTAATCTCTGTTAAAGCTGAGCTGCAGCCACAGGGTCATTTTCATTGTGTCCATTGATAGACCCATCAAATTCGAAAAATTACTTGCGATAAAACTGTATTATTTTTCTAAACTAATGTTAAATGTAGTTGCCAGAAATGGCTACTGACTATTGCTTTTTGTATTGCCCTACTCTCTACTCTACTTTTTTTAAAAAAAAAGCAACACACTACACTACAAACTACGAGACAAAGTAGTGACTACTGTGACGCTTATCGTCACTTAATTCAGAATCACAATAAAACATTTAAAATAGATTTATCGTAAATTGCAAAATAATTGATTAGATTTAAAATACTGTGGAAACTTCCATTAGTTCATAGAACTTAAGCAAATACAAATAAACACTCTTGATTAAAGTTAAGAAATACGTGTCGAAAAGGGTTAATCACAAGTTTATAGTCCAAGTTTGATCTCTTGTGTGACCTTTCCAGAATTTAGCAATAGTTTTATCTAGCAAAAAGTTTAGTATAAAAGATAAAAAAAAAGACAACAAAAACAGTAGCAGTAGTAGTAGAGAGAGTAGAACCGAGTCATTTTGAGGTTCACCAACTTCCAATATGAACATCAGTATGGGTAAGTTCTCTCCATGCCAATTAGTTTATTTGTTACCAATCAAAGCCTTTTAATTAATTTGTTATTTAAATTTTGTATTTTATTAAAGTGTTATTAATCTAAGTATTTTAAATAGTTGAAGTATGTAAATTAATTCGACAATATATGCATAAAATAAAACGATCACAGGTTAAATTGATAAGTAGTAGTTTTGTGTCTGTAAACCACCGTAACACTACAGTAGTTTCACTACTTGTAGTGCGCAACTTCCAATTACTGAAATTTAGTATTACTGAAATTTACTATCTACCTTAATTTTTTACACAAATAAACATAAAACAAATAAAATTTTGTTTCATTTTATTTAAACATAAGCAGTTAATGTGCATTAATTGCAGTTACTTTATATTTTACTACAATGAACTATTGTATTGACAAAACATATTTTGCTTTGATATCTATGAGAACTTGTGGTAAACTTGTCTATTTATGAAAATTTGTGGTAAGCTTCTTTATATAATCCATTACAAAGAGTATTTATGTAATTATATAGTAAGAATAGTTAATGAATTAATTAAAAATTTAGGACAATAAGTTATAAAATATTAGAATTTCTAATGTTTCATTTCAATAAATACAATGAGTCATAAATTTAACTATTATGATAATTTTTTAAATACAGGGTGGCCACCCACCTGGAAAACCTTGAAAACCTGGAATTATCAGGGAATTTTTTTATACTGGAAAAAACCTGGAAAAATCAGGGAAATATGGATAAAAACCTGGAAATTTTAAAGAAAAGCTGGAAATTTTTTCTTATATATTTTTTTAATTTCACTAATTTAAATTATTTGCTAATTTTCTTAATTTAAATTGTTTCATCCATTATACCCACATTTTTTAGACGGAAATGTATCTCCTAACAGTTAAAATATCATTAATTTACTTTGCTTTCATCAAAATTTGCTCCATTATAACCCTGTTAAACTAGAATACAACATAAAATTCTCCCATGCAAATGTAGAAACCTTTGATCTCTATGCAGACTGTGCAATTTAGGAAAGGCAAAGATTATGGTGGATGTGGAAGACGGGGTTAGGATTCGGTTTTTAAATTCTGTCCGNTTTAAATGTACGATGACTTTCGTGGGGTAACATTTTTGTTACCATTTGATTAAAAGTTAACTTTTGCTTTGTTTTTAAAATATTCCGTGCAGTTTTGCTAAGAATAGATTATACATCTTATTATCAAATACCCATTGTGAAATATTCATTTTAATTATTGAATTTTTATTTCCTATTTCAATATAAGTTATAAGTGAGTGAGCACTTTTGGGAGCCACTGTAATTATTAAAAATTATTGATATATAATCACCTGAAACGGTTTTCTTTTCCTTAATGAAAATATATTAAACAATACTTATCCAAGGTTTTATTCTGATTTTGTCATTTTGTAGGTCCACTTTGAGCAAATACTACTTAAAGTAACACATTAAATTCAATAAAAACAATTAAAATTATTCAATAAAAAAATATATTCTGCAAGCTAAACATATTATTTTCTCCACGTCTTAATTTTTAAAAATCTAATGTTGTACCAGAACATTAAAAAATAATAAAAAAATATCTTGTAAAAAAATTTTTTTTTTCGAGATATGTTTAAAAAAATGACATTTTGAATAAGATGTTTTATAATGCAGACACTTTTCTTGTACACATCCTACACTTTATAAGAAAAAAGGAAAAAAACACAAACCTGGAAATTTTAAGATTTTTACCTGGAAAAATCAGGGAAATTTGAAATCTGTTTTGTGTGGCCACCCTGAAATAATACTGAATCTATTTTTTGCATTATAAAATATTAAATTTTGTATTTTTAAGGGTTAGCAGCTCATAGTTAAACTCATTAAAGCTAAAATAAAATTGAACTGCAATTCAGAACCTGCATTACCGTGCAGTTATTACTGCACAGATTTTGATTATGATTTTTTTTTTTGGAAAGTGGTTAAAAATATTTTTTAAGTGCTTAAAAAGTACTTGAAAGGTGCTTATTTTATGTTGAAAAATCAGGCTACGCACCCTGTTCTACTATTATGAGCAATATTCTCGCATTTTGTAGGACAGAAACACACTAATTATTTCCTTTTTATTAACTGTAATAATGAAATCCGTAACAGTAACTACCTCAACTACATTCTGTGACAATGTTGCTGTGTCGCAACAATTCTGCCACCAGAGTCTTAATGTACCATTCCTCAAATTTTTTTTCTGTAGTTTAAAATTAACTTGTGAATGATTTTTGAAATTTTTTAAAACTTCTTTTATTTTTTTAATAAAATATTAAAAAACTTCTTTTATTTTTTTAATAAAAACTTTTTTTATTTTTTTAATGAAATATTAATCGGTGCAAATTTTTTAAATGTATTATTCTTATTTATCTTCAGATATTCAAGTGGTATACATAACCTAATAAGGACAATGTTAGAAGTGAGTGCATTGCAGCGACCATTTATAGATGGTGTTTTATTACAAATTGACTCTATCTCGCCTACAGCTCAAGATATAGTATGAATTGACTCAGCTACTATTTTTATACTCTTTTTTTTCTTCTCCATTCCAACGTGATATGTGACTTTCTCCTTTTACACTTTTCAGACCTTGTGTATAAACATGTTCTGACATCAATAGACATGATAGATTATGCATGAACAAAAGCTGCTCACAATTTTTGTTGTTCCACTTTGAGTTTCAGAAAAATATTCTGCTTTTGAAATACATTGATGTAAAAATGTTTTAATTGCACGCACTATAATGGAACTGCATGCTTTTAAAAGAATGCATAGTAAATTGAAAGCCAATATAGCTATAAATAACTTCAACTTTGAAATTTGTTGCTGATTATTTTTTAATATTTGTTGATTTCTTTTTGTATTGAATACTTTTTTTAATTCAAAATTTACTATAAATGTCCTTTCAAAAGATTTCACAACTTTTTTCTTGCGCAATGAAATCTATCACTGATATTTTATGTGTTGTGAATAGGAAACAAAGAGTGGCTAAGCATTTATATGTTCGTAATTGACACACAATATTGTTTCTTCAAATGTTTCATATATTTCATCTGAACTGCTGGAAAAAATTTGGCAAAAGTGTGTTATATATCAGTGATTCCGCTTTTTTGATATTATACGACAAAAATTATAACGGGGACACGAAAAATAAGTTGTTAAAATCTCAGGGGAGGTGTAATTCTTTAGTGTAAAAAAAGTGTAGGCACAGTTATAGTCAAACTTTAAATATATTTATATATATATATTTTTATTGAAAGAAAAAATTAAAATATATCTGAGCATCATGTTACGTCATTGCTATTCTTGATACAGGTGTTCGAACTGTGCAAATTAAAATCAGGGTATCTATGCACCTGGAAAGTCATGAATTTGGGTATTGAACAAAATTTGTCATGAAATGTCATGATTTTAATTATTTTAAAAAAAAATCATGGCACGTCATGGATTTAGGTCGCCTAAAAATCTAATTTTTAAAATGGAATTTACCCATCCCCCAATTTTAATGGTGTTCTGAATATCTGATTTTGTGTCAAAGTCTCCAATCACCGTCATATTTTGTTAAAATATAAAATTTTTTTATTATGTTGTTTAAAAATTATGGTGTTCTTTAAAAAAATGAAAGAAAAAACATCATTTCTTGAGTGAATTATCTTTTAAACTTCTGTGATTTCAGAATTTTTGAGCAGTACAATATTCTGTTTATGTCACATTGCAATATTCTGTTTTTGTTTATGGAATCACTGTATATTACAAGTAAAAAGCAAAAATGTACTAAATCCATTTATTCCAGTGATTTTTTTCACCATTTATAGTATCTAAGTTATTTTGAAAGAAATTATTGTATTGTTATTCGTATATTTCTGCCTATTTTTATTTTTGTGAAAAACAAATATTAGAAACATCAAAGCAGTACAATATTCTGTTTATATCACACTGCAATATTCTGTTTTTGTTTATGGAATCACTGTATATTATAAGTAAAAAACAAAAATATACTAAATCCATTTATTCCAGTGATTTTGTTCACCATTTATAGTATCTAAGTTATTTTAAAAGAAATTATTGTATTGTTATTTGTATATTTCTGCCTATTTTTACTTTTTTAAAAACAAATGTTAGAAACACCAAAGCAGTGCAATATTCTGTTTATGATATTTTTGTAATTAATAATGTTTTTTAATTATTTGTTTTCACCAGTGAAGCTATATCTGACCAATTGTTTTTGAAAGTTTCTTACTGTACAAAAAGAAGAAAAAAATGCATGATTTGATCATTTTTAAGCCAAGAACGCCAATTATTATGATTTATCTGTAATTATTACGATCTCGTTATAAATGTTACGGTTTTACGGTTAAATGATAAAAGTCACGGTTTTTGAGAATTCCTTTAATAATTTGTTTAAAATTAGTTTTTCCCCCTTAACTACGAAAAGTTATATAAATTTGTTGTTTGCACCTAATTTTCTACTCTCCTTAAACACATTTGAAAACTAAAAATAAGAAACAAAAACAATTTGATAGAAACAAGAAATTAAACAAAAAAATATCACCTCTTTACCCTTTCTAGCGAGCTATTTAAAAAACTCATATAATGCTAAAAAATATTTTTTGAGTGCTTAAAAAGTACTTAAAAGGTGCTTATTTTTTGTTGCAAGATTTGACTATGCACCCTGAAAAAGTAGCATGAAGCAATCAAGGGCAGGGGGGGGGGTGAAGTGTTAGTATCTATATGTACATATTTAATATAAAAAAATATTTTTCTATGAAAAGTTATCGAGACACTTATGGCTTAAATTTTCAAAATGTATATTTTCATGGAACCATGATTGATTGTTTCCACATCTTTAGTTTTCCTGTATGCATTGTCTTGTGTTAGATGTCATATGACAAATAAATGCTATTTTCATCATTTTAAAATACCTGTTTAGATTGTTTTTGAAATTAGAAAAGTCCTGCGTCTATCTTTCAGAAATTTTAGCAACATTTGAAAAAAAAAAATTACAATTATTTAAGACCAATGAGGATCATGAAATTTATATAAACAACCTGATATTATTAAATTTATAAAAATAAAGGAATGAATTGGATAGCCCACAAAGATTCAGGGATGTTTCCCAGACTGTCGCCAATAGCCCATTGTGCAGCTCTAGCGCAGCATAAATAAAGTACCTATCTACCATTACTTTATTATTTTTCAAATCATTATTTATTATTTGATGTTGACTCGCTGTTTTCCCTTATCTATCATTCACAATGATTGGTTCCATGAAAAACAGTTGAAATTCTATTGTATTGCATTTAAAAAATATGCAATATGCATGTTATAAAATGTTACTTCTTCCATCCATGTAGAAAATTACCTCTGTTAGACTTTTAAAATTTAACATATCCTAAGACTAATTTCATCCTATTATTTTCAAACTGTTTTTCTTTTTTTACTAAAATGCACTGCTTTTCTAGTCTGTTAAATAATTTTGTTATATGTATATATATATTCATTTTAGAGTGCTTTAAAATCATATATAAAAATGATGTTATATCAGCACTTTGAGAAATTTATTTTTTTCAATCTGTTTACATGCATTGTAAAAATAGAAAATAATAATTAAAGAACTGCATAAGACTCTTAATTATTCAGCCTAGTAAAAAAGAGAGGAATGTTCGAACTGGATATATTAATGCGAACTTTTAATAATATTTAGCACTGATATAGAGCAACAACATTGGAATTTGCTATTTGTAAAACCCATCGTGGGAGTAGGAGGGTGAAAAAATGTTGCAGTGATCGTCTGCTGCAAACCCTTCCTATAAGTCTGCCGCATGCAAAACTCAAAATTTAAATTTTTTTTTTCTTTTAAAGTCAACTAAGATGAGGTTTTTTTATTGGTTTTTTTAAAAGATATTACCTAGAATAAAACCTTTTGATTTAAAGTTTGATTTTAACAAAAGAGAATGATTACAACTAAAAAGTAAACTTCTTAAATAATAATAATAGTAATATAATAATTCAATAATGAATTGAAATAAAAAACTTTTATTTTTAATGTAGTACCACCTTTTCCTACGCATATTAATAAAAGGTTCTTAATTTATTTTCTTCTGTAACCAGACATAAAATTAAATTATTGGGTACTGGGGCCAGAGGAATATGCTGTCTTTGTTAGATTGTTTTCTATTGTTTTTTAAATTCATATATATATCGGGATTCATTTTAATAGTATCATAAAAATGAATTATTATGGATTTTTATGTCTATTATAATAAATTATTATTATAATAGGAAAGTAAAAAAAAAATATTGAGGCAGAGAAATATGCTCTCTTTGTTAGATTGTTTTCTATTGTATTTTAAATTCATATATATATATACCAGGGTTCATTCCTGAATAAAATTATTTTGCCCTTATTTGTCCTGTTTTTTGGTGTTTAAGTTCAGAACGTACCAGTTCAATTAGCATGTAATTTCAAAATACTCATTTCCATTTTATTAAAAATTTCTTTCTTTTTAAAGATGTAAGAAAAACTAGACATATCTTTCTCCTCAAAACAAATTATTGCTGAATCAATATTGGAACCAGTGTTTTCTTATTAACCTCGTTTCTATTGTTTTCTATCTTTGTCACGTTACACATCTTTTCATCATAAACCAGTCACATTATAATGCACAGCCTCTGAAATGTGAAAAACAAATTTCCATAATTACAATTGATTCCATTAATTTCAATAAAATAATTTAACTCCAAAATATGTTTGATATAAAAGTTAAATAATTGAAAAGTTTGATAAAAAGTTAAATGGTTTTTATGCCACGCCCTAAGGCAGTGTTTCCCAAACTTATGACTTTGTGTACCCTTTCTAACTTTTTCGTAATGCTGTGCACCACTAATAAAAAAAATGAATGTATTTTTTAAAAAATATGTTTATTTTTGTTTTTTGGTACAAAGTTTTGTTAATAAATTTATTTACATCAGTGAGAAGGATGATATTGTTTTTGCTGTGATAAAAAAATTGCGCAAAAGTTAAAAATCAAAACTGGCTGTTGACACCACTAATTATTAACTGTTTACTCAGCAAAAAACAGCCAATACAAAAAAACGTCATCGTAAATTTTCATGGCTAGCTTTGTTAAATACAATTTTTTTAAGTCTCGTTTGTTGTAAGTTATTTCACATAAGAACGCGTACCCCCGTTTAACTGTTCCCGTACCCCTGGGGGTACGCGTACCACTCTTTGGAAAACACTGATCTGAGATATCATGATTATACTACACGAATTTTATCAAATTTTATTACACATAATAAAACTACTTTTATTGACCTTTTTTTGAATACATTTTTGACAGTTTTATGGTATATAAATGTCTTATTTGTGACTTGTGGATTTTGTTTCATGACCAAAATGTGAAGATAAACTTTATGAAAATATCTTATACTATACAAAAAATTTAACTTTACAGAATTACCTTTTATATAATAATTAAAAAATAACATTAAAGTTTATAAGATTTTAACGAATTGATTTTTTTAGACAAATATTTATTAAATTCCTGATTTTACGTAATTTTAAACTACATATTTCTTAGTAAAAATCGTGTTCATTAAAGCTTGGGTTTCATAAACGCGAAAAAAAGCTAATATAATTAAATTTAGTAATTGGTTTAATAAAAATGAAGAGAAAATCGTAACTATTTATCTTGGTTTCAGGAAAATATCTCATTGCTGTGAATCTTTGCATGTATGCCATACGGAGAAAAAAATTCTGGTAAAATTACCGTATTGTATAGTAATAGCATTTCTGGTTAAAAAAAAAAAGTAATTCTAGTTATAAAACCCAAAGTATATGATAATTAAAACTTCATTTGGTTATTTTCCCGCTTATACGGTAACAGTAAACCGGAAATTCTGGTTTTTAAAATTATAGTTCTTATCACCTCACATTTAGTAAAAAATAAAAGACTATATATTTTAAAATAAATAATAATACATGATAATAAATAAATTTGAAGTAAATTTTTTAACGTTTTAACATTGAAAAATCACGAGAAATATAAAATTAATAAATAATATTTTATAAGACTAGTATGAAGTTAATAATGTGTCAAAATATAGAAAATAAATTTATAGAATCTGTTAAAAAAAATTATTTTTACTAATTTTTCTCAAGAATGAAGATTTTTTAAGTAGAAATACCTTACTTGATTCATGGAAACATTAGTTATGTATAAAAAATTAATGATGTAGTGTGTTAGGTAGCTTTAATAATTTAGGAAATTATATTAATTGACTGAATTAAATATTTTTAAAGAAAATTATTTTATTAATATCCAATTGCAAAATGGGTCTTTGTTTCGATTTGATGGCGTCCACAATGCGCATGCGTTGTTATGGCGACCGCTGCTGTTTCTCTTTTTATTTTCACTAGCAGTCGTTTTTCATGTATTTACATAATAATAATTTAAAGTATTTTTTATTCTTTTTATTATTAGCGTTTAATGACTGTCTTGACGGTGATTTCAATATAAATATGAATGCTGAAGAAGGAAAAGTATTTTGTGAAGTCTTGAAACACGTACATAGGGAAGGATATGAAAATCAATCAAACTGGACAAACATCAATGGAGATAGTTTTTGCAACCCATGATTTGAAATGTTGTGGCCTTTAACGGAGTCAATCCCGAAAGAAAAAGCATTTGACCAATATGTGATCAGTGATCACAATAAAGCGATCACAACTTTTTTGTTGATTTTTTATTTTATTTTTCTATTATTTTTTTAACTCGTTCACTAATTTATATTTATTGTTTTGACCAGTAATGTAACTATATTAACTTATAATGTTTTAACTCCTTTACCCGGTGAACTAACAAGAGATGAAGTTTGGATATTTATTAATTATTTTAAATACTCAATTCCACAAGTTCAAGGCCAGAAAAAAAAAACCCGTATGATATGAATTATGCAAGGACATTAATATATTTTATGGCAAATCCTTAAATATTTTCCCGCTAGATTGCAGCACTTATTGATATGACTAATATGCTACTCCTGCTCTATGTTAATTTGAACATTTTAAAAGTGCCATCTACAGCTCTTAATGCAAACTAGAATATTTCGCTTTTCTTACTGAAATTTTCAGAATTTCGTTAATCGAGAATGATAATTAGAAAACATCTGATGATTATTATGATATTTTTAAATTATTTTTTTAAATTCGTGATATTTTCTTGGAATCACAGAAATATAGCAGCTATATTCTCAAAAAAAAAAAGATCTATATTTGTCTAGAAATATTTATAGAACGTGTCAATAAAGTAATTCAAAGCAAAAAAAAAGATAAAAGAAATATGCAATTATTTAGTTACTAAGTTATGACAATTCGTTGCTCATTTAATTCTTTTTATTAATTTAATTACCTACAATTACATAGCAAGTATAGTACAATTATTTCATTGCTTATTTAATTTTTTTAAATTGTGTTTCATTAATATTGGTGTCTCATTGCGGAAAATTTGTAAATTTTTTGTAATATTTTG